AAGATTAAAAGAGTGAACTAGTTTTGATGTCTATTGTCTTTATGTATGTGTGACTATATTTCTATTCATGGCAAAGACACAATACAAAATGTCAAAACTTTCATCCTTCTCAGAAGACGCAGCTTAGTAAATATGAGATGGATTGTGTGTTTGAATCTGTATGTCAGTTTAACCAATGTTCTGGTTTGCTGAAAGCAAATGCGGCAGCTACTTATATGGTTTTGTTAAAATAAATCAAAGTAAAACTGTTTTAAAAACTAGGTTTTGACTGACCACCAGGGATCTCCTGGTGTTTGAGGAGAATTTGGGACCACTACACTTTATCTTACAATTAAGACAATTAAAAAGGAAGACATTTTTCATACTAAGTGTTGTAGTGTAATCTGTAGCAGACCAATGAAGTGTGTAGTGAGTTTGGTGACACTACACTGTATCATATTGAAGTTATTGATTAATATTCCTAATAAAAATTCCCAGAAATTACGAAAGATGCCTTTCATTCAAACCAAGTGTTGTAGTGTAATCTGTAGCTGACCAATCAAGTGTGTATTGAGTTTGGTGACACTACACTGTATTATAGTGAAGTTATTGATTAATATTCCTAATAAAAATTCCCAGAAATTACGAAAAATGCCTTTCATTCAAACCAAGTGTTGTATTGCAATCTGTAGCTAACCAATCAAGTGTGTAGTGAGTTTGGTGACACTACACTGTATTATAGTGAAGTTACCGATTAAAGGTAGGGTCTGGAGGATTTTCCAGTTGCTGTTTGTAAACACACATTCAAATTCGGCCCCTCCTATCAGACTCAACGCTCACGGGTGTACGGAGCCCGGAGGTACGGAAGAAGGCTTCACAGAAGAGGTTCAGGCAAGGCTCTCGCTGGTGCACGCTCGGACACGCTCGGGCACGGCACCTGCGCTCTCTCATTGGCTGGGGAAATCTCCGCCCAGAAGCGGTCCAAGCTCACAAAAACATCAAAATACAGTTAAAGGGCAGGAGCTCTGCAAACAGAGTCACCACCACACATGAGTAGAAGCCCATAGGTGATGATTAAGCAGGATTTCATTTGTATATGTCTATATTTTGTTTTGTTTGAAAATCCTCCAGATCCTACCTTTAAGAAAAGTATAATACAGAGTCCAAGGGGTAGGACTATATAAGTTTTGCACTTCCTCCTATTCCCTTTCGAACATGTTAACACTTGTCGAATACAAAATACAGTATTGTCTTTTATTTATTTCTTAGCACTTCCTTGTGCTGTCCTTTGTTAGTGTTTTTTATACTATCTTCATGTTCAAAATAAAGATCTTGAAATTGAAAATTGAAATTGATGCACTTTTCTCTTGTGACGGACAGTAAGGCAAAGTGCAATATTTGCCAGAAAAAGATTTCTGTATTATTCTGATCCAAATCTCACCCCATCATTCCTCCCAGTGATTATTTCAGGATGAAATGAGTTACCCCCAGGCTGGCTTCTTAAAATAAATATATGTAAAAATGAGCCAGTCTTTTGAATGGCTCTTTGAAAGGAACGGATGTCTAAGATAGTGCGGTAAAGTTGGAAAGATATTGGCAGATTCGAACTTGAAAATATGTGTGTTTTGTGTTTTAACAACGTTTCACTTAAGAGTTACTGATCCCGGAAGTTCGAATCTGCCAATATCTTTCCAACTTTACCTAACTCTCTAAGATCCTGCACCCTTCAAAGAGCCATAAATCCCATCTCTAGAAAATATGCGTGGTTTGTGTTTTAACAATGTTTCACTTAAGAGTTATTGATCCCTGAAGTTCGAATCTGCCAATATCTTTCCAACTTTACCACACCCTATCACATCCAGGGGACAGTCTGTCTTTTGAGTGGCCACAAACTGTCACACAGGAGAGCTCTCCATTCAATCAATGTCAAACACGGCTGTCACTGAGGGCTGCTTTTCTTACCAGAAGAAAATCTTGGAGAGAAGATTAGCTGAAGCCGACGGATTATCCCTCGCCTCCTTCCGCAGCGGTTCCATGCCCCCCAACAGTCAGAGCAACCTGGGGACTTTCTCTGCAGGCTGTGTGGCAGAGGGGATCGACAAAGACTCAGAGGCGGTAAAACCCTGAGAGGACAGCTGCTGTACACTCCAATGTCTGGCAATATCACACCTACACACAGTCAGGACAGGATTACTACAGGTCAGGAGACGCGCAGCCTGGCTTGTCTGTCAGGTGAGCGGGGCGCTTCGTAACCCCGCCCACCTCCTGATGATTGGCTGACAGAGGTCTCCATCACTTCCCAAACTGCTTCATGTCATGAACTCTGCCCTTTCTTAGCCAAACAATATGGACATGCACAAAATTACTACAGCTAAGGTAATATCATCCAAACTGTGTCAAAGGTGAAAGTAACCATACAGAATATACTCTTATGGTTTTTAACATGACTATATTATAATGTTATACATATCAAAATATGTTATTGAATTGTTTGTACAGATTTAACTGTAAGTAGTAATTAAATGTTAGCTGGTCATGGTAAAGCTGATTTCAGCTACTTTATGTGATGGACTTTTGAAGTCATTCATTAGTTTTAAGTACTTTTTAAAGGTAAGCAGCAAAAAATAAGTAAGTGTTGTAGTTAAAGTATTTCAATATTTCCAGTAGTAATCAGCTTGCTCAAGACTTTGTTCAGCACAAGAAATTTCCAGAAATATGGATGGAACCGTTCCATACCGTCCCCATATTTGGTCCCCCCTCTGTTGGGGTACCTAGCACACAGATCAGGTACTAAAAGGTGGAGCTGTGAACACTGCAGTCTGTTGATTGGTCAATAGAGGAAGGTCACTCTGCTCAGGGCTGAGTTGTGGCTGGTTTTGAGGCTCATGTAACCACTGTTCATACTGTGGAGGGTTTTGTAAATAGACTAAGTATAAAATGAGAGGGTGTTTTTATGCCTCTTGCAGTCAGAGAAAAAAATAATTCACTGGGCCGACTGCCAGCAACTTTTAAGGTGGAACGTTAACTTGTAATGTTACTCAATGCATGAGTTGACGACATGAATCCATCAACACACCTTAAATTTCACTGTGACAACTTTGACCATTACTTTAGTTTTTATATGACACACACTTTTAGTAATGAGTGGATCTTCAAGTGTTTATATATATTAATTCCAGTAATGTTGATGGGCAAATTTAGACTTACTGCTACCTGCATTATAAGAGTCAAATATGTTTTGCAGCTCCAGGCAAATTATTTGACTGCTTTTTTGGCCAAAAATGTCTCTTTTGATAGTTACAGTTGCTAACCCCTGGTCTATGGTATCGCCCTCCAATTCACTTTGGGGAAACGCATTGTTTGAACTGATTAAATATTAATTCTTGCTCTAAATGTCACCTGATTGACAAAACTGACCTATATTCATAAATCAAAATACACCAAATCCTTCTGATCTCATTGCTGTATCTATTTTTTTTAAAAAAAACACATAAATCTATAGACGAAAAAGCCAATGGAAATCTGTTTAAACATAAAAAATGTAATCTTCACAAGGTTAATAAAGTTTATTGAAAAAATAATTCTGTCCTTTCTTTTGAAATAACTAAACTTTCAAGCTGGCCTTGCTCTTCTCTTGTGGACCAGAGTAATCCTATTCTGAATCTCCTAGACAGTACAGGCAGTGTTTTATTCTGCAAACAATTTATGGATAATTAAGATTGTCCCGTTTGGATTTCCATCCATCCATCCATCCATCCATGCACGCATTCATGCCTTTTCTGTAACCTCATATCCTCTTTAGGGTCACAGGGGGCTTCAGGGTTGGGCAAGAGGCATGGTACATCCTGGACAGGTCACCAGAGTATCACAGGGCTGACACATAGTGACACACAACCATTCATGCTCACATTCTCACCAACAGGCAATTCAAAGTCACCAATTAACCTAACCTGCATGTCTTTGGACTGTGGGAGGAGACACAAGCTAACAGAACATGCAAACAAGCCAACCAGCAAGTTCAAACCATTCTTCTATGAGTGCTAACCCTGCCACCCCCCATTTGAATTTGTCCCATTTAATCCTGTTTTGAAAGGACTTCAGTTAAATGTGAGTTAAATATCACATATGGATGCATGTTAATATTCAACAGAAGTCAAGGCACAGAGGATAACGTAATACATATTTCTTTATTCTTCAGACTAAAGTGACACCAGCAGAGTTCTTTTTCACCACTCACTGTATCTCAAATAAAGTATAGCTGGCTGAGACAAAATGAGTGAACTCCATGTAAAACTCTAACGTAGGATTCATCTTTCTTATTTGTAAATCATGAAAATTGACCTTTTTAACACCAGTTCCTGTAAAATGTACTAAATGCCACTTTCATCTTTTTTAACTAATTAGAAAACCGCAAACTTTTGATGTTTATTTGTTTCAAAAATCAACTCCACATACTCCCTAATGCATTTTTTCGTGTTACGCAAACAGTATATATAATGATATAATTTTTATTACCTGTTTGTTCTTATTTTCCCTGTTCTATAACAGAAAGTAATGCACAAATTAACACAAAAAAAAAAAAAATTGCCAGATTTGCATTTCTTAAGATGCAGTCTTAGGTTCAGAAATGACAACAACTCTATAAAAATTCACATTACAGCTGGTTAAGCCCTGATACCACCATCTGTTGTATATTTTTTATAGTTTTAGGTAAACACGGACCCTTCAACCTCTCATGGAGAGCATAGAACATGAAAAACAACATACATTCACATATGACCTCGCAGTCATTAGCCATTCACTTGCTAATACTGTGTGCAGGAATAGATGAACCAGTAACTGGACTTTGACACATTGCTTCTTCTTTTGAGGTTTACTGATTACTCCTTTATTTTTTTATGCTAATATGACACTTGACCTTATTTGCTGAACAAAACTTGCATTGCCAAAACTTAATGACTAACTGCCAGCTTATGCTTCCTTCCTACTATTTCCCCCCTTCACACAGCTGTGTCCATCCCTCGCCCCTAGAGAGGCAGGCGAGATGTCCTGTCTGTAAATCATCTCAACGAAACACATGTCCACAGTGTAATTTGCATTCCTGCGGCGATTTTTATTTTCTCCTCATTTTCTTGAATTTGCTAAAAGACTGTACGTAGCTTAGAACCTCCAAATGTCAGTCTTGCAGATTCTGGCTTTTCTCTGCGGCCTGGGCGGGCTCGGTGCCACTATTGGTGCCACAGTGTCCAACGAATGGAGGCAGACCAGTCGGGCATCCTCGGTCATCACAGTGACCTGGGTGCTCCAGGGTCTGTGGAAGAACTGTGCTGGGAATGCTATTGGAGCTGTGCACTGCAGACCACATCATACCATCTTTCAGCTTGCAGGTAAGATAATGGGGTGTCACAGTGACCACATAACAAGTCTGTTCTCACTCTGCTGCATGACGCATTTGTCTTATAGTGGTTGGAAACAAATCAAGTGTGTGAACATAATCTATGTGCTCACTTATGGCAAGGTATTGTGTGTATACTGTGGAGGTGCTTTAAGAAATGCTCTTACACACTGAAACCTAAATATTCTTCACCACAAAAACAAATGTATCACTTTGGTTTCACAAGCTTGTATCTGTGATGTATTAAACTGCCGCCAAAATGCTGCCAAAATTCTTTCAAAACTCAAACTTCAAAATTCAGTGCATACATTTTCAGGTGCAGTAGATGCTCTAATAATCTTTCCTATAGTTCAAGTTACCACTTTTGCAATTTGAGTTGAAATGCTACAAAAGATGTCATTTTTAAGTGATATATTTTGCAAAGCAATCTTTACACGTTTGTCATTAAGTATCCCTCACATGGGAATCAGTCTGATAGCATTTTGTCAAGAGGTCAGTGAAAAATTGAGATTATCTTTGTTGTAAAACTGCCCCAGATTTTCATCTCAAGCCTCAGATTGTGTCACTTTTCTTTCTTTTTTTAATGAAAGTTCTCTTTTCAATCTGATTCCATAGCAGCCTTTTATCATAATCTTTTCCTATGGTCATATTTGTTGACACAAATGAATATAATGACAAATACTGTTTCAGTATTATAGCAAAAATCAAATTCACACTGAAAAAAACAGTGAATAATAATTTATGTCCCAGATTATGGATCATGCGTTAGCTGTGGCAAATGTGTAATCCTTTGCTGGAAATGTCAAACTGAGAGTGTGTGAGTCACAGAGTGCACTGTGGAGGAAATCAACAAAAACCTGTTGAAGTCAGTAATGGTTCAGTCAGGGAGAAAATACTAGTTAGACTAAATCAAATTGAAAGTATGATATTTTGAGAACCCTTTCTGACCCATATTTTATGTAACCAAGTTGCATTATTTACTTAATATTGAAGAAAATACATTCCTATTGTCTATTGAGACTTGCAGTGATGATGATTTTATCCCTAATATTTATAATTATGATTTTTGTCTAGTCATTTTATTAACTTTTATTGTATATAAAGGAATTGTTTGATTGTATGATCTATGGATACAGTGCTGCTTGTTTTTTAATTGTGTCTTGTAAGGTGTCCTTGAGTGATTTGACAGGCACCTCTAAATGAAATGCTTTATGATTATTATTATCATAATTACATATTGTTTGATGTGCACAATATTTTCCAGTATTGTATTTATTAATCATATCAATTCGGAGCGTCTGTTTGCACACAGGTGAGAATAGTTACACTGCAGCTATTCGGCTATTTACACCCACTCCAACAACACATTATTATGGATCCCACCGCGTGCTGTGATTGGCTTGTGCTTGTCACGTTGACATGCTGAGGTCAGAGGCAGTTAGGATTAAGGCAAATATAGCATTGTTGGCACCTGGGTCTATGGTTACAGTATGTGGCTGGTTGTTTTATGTGAAATGCAAAAAACTGACTCGCTGTTAATTAGAGTTTTTTTTCCCCCTTTGCAGAACATATTTCAATCCACCTCAGTGTTTAAAACAGAATAGGAAGATAAAATACAGTTCACTTAATTTTTGTGTGAATTCACCTTATTCAGGGACATTTTAAAAATAGAGCAAATAGAACTAAGTTACTTCGTGGAGCACCTCAGGGCTCCATTCTTGGACCTCCTTTGTTCTTGATCTACATAAATGGCCTGCCTAGGGTCTGCAAAAATGTACTGCCTTTTTTACTTTGCTGATGATACATGTCTGGTGTCTTCACATGAAAATTTCAGCACACACATTCGAGAAGCAAATTAAGAGCTACCATCAATTTTTAAATGGTATCAGATGAACAAACTCTCAAAATCGAACTTCATGATATTTGTAACAAAAATAAAAAATATAACAAAGATAAAGCCAAATTTTCATAGACAACATCGAAATAACTCAAGCTCCTCACGTTGAATTTCTAGGGGTCATAGTAGACGAAAAACTAACTGGAACTTGGAAATACCATATTGAACTTGTCCGTAAAAAGACTATGAGGTCAGCTGGTATCCTAAGTAGAGTTCATTTACTGGTCGATCATTTATCTTCCATATCGTTGGACTTCTCTTAATCAATATTCAGTAAAATACTGAGGGGCGTCTCTTTGGAACAGCCTTCTTCCATATCTACAATCATCATCTACATGATCCTTATTGAAACGGCACATTTCTTAAGAGAACAATAGCTGAGTGCTTTGCTCCATCTGAAGGTGGCAGCAGTGTGTTTACAGAAACAGTACACATCCACCAGATGGGGCTCTAATTCACATTATAAAAGCTTAATAAGCTTAATGAATTCCATATTTGGCTTTTCCTCTTATTTGCTGTTTATCTGTGACACCCCAAATGTAATTTTAATTATCCTTTTCTAAATTCATTAACAGATTTCTCTGCAATGTAACAGAGAGTTTGTCTCGTCTGCATGCTGTGACATCAGAGTGAATGACATGCTGTTAATAAGTTATCAAAATCCTGCTATTTTAGGTCTGAGGGGAAGTTGCAGCACTCTTGTTGAGCATTAATCATAGGCAGCAGCGCAAGGTGAAAGGTAGAAGGTGATATTCACTGTACTGTATCACAAGTGTCTTCTCACTATCTGTGGTTTCTCCAGACATTTCTTTTTGTTTGTTTGGTTGACTCACAAATAAATCCATAGATGAGATTTAAACAAACATTTTGTAATTTGATTGTTGGACTTCCTGCCCATCACAGGATACATATGCTAACTCAAAATATGCACATACAAACACAGAGCAACGAATGCCTACCTGTGCATACAGTTGCTTTGATTATAAAATGCAATCACTGATGTCATGATACTTACTACATCCAAAACTGTCTGCCCCTTCCATCTCCATCATGTATGACTCTGAGTCACAGTGACGTATACAGGATGAGGGGGGGAAGATGCCATAATAGACCATTGGCCACTCGTTGATGTTAAAGGCCAAACTCCTCCCTACAGAATATAACAGTCCACAACACATTAACTATCAATCATAGCCTATCCATTGAACTTACCGGCGCAGAGCACAGCTACATTTGAACAAGCCTAACTAGCCAGGGAACCATTAATAGATCTCAGGTCTCACCAGTAACATACTGTAATTGGCCGTCACACGGTTGCGTGGAGGTGTCCTCTCTGCAAGGCTGAGCAGCATGCTTCAGGAGATCCTGGCCTTTGTTTTAAGCACCTCGGGGTGGGTGCTGGTGTCTTCCACCTTGCCGACGGACTACTGGAAGGTGTCTTCACTTGATGGGACGGTCATCACCACAGCTACCTACTGGTCCAATCTGTGGAAGACCTGCGTCACGGATTCAACCGGAGTCTCCAACTGCAAAGACTTTCCCTCGATGCTGGCATTGAAGGGTCAGCTGGTTGTTCCCTTCTTATTGGATTCTTGCTTTTTCCGCCTTTTTCGGTCAATCATGTTGAATTTGCTTTCTGTTTTCTGTTCGTTAATGCCTGAAAGGATTGTCTCCTTGTAGGAAGCTCCTTCTCTGTCTGTGCTTCGCTAGAAAATTCAAGTTGAAGCTCATTACTACCCAGGGCTAATAGATATCCTCTGGACTAATTCAAGGAACTGGTCAAGGAACAACTCATTTACCTCCATATATGTCAATGTTTAGCCTTTGTCTTCTGAGCTTGAGACCTATAGAGGTGATTTACTGGGACCCTCAGGCAGTTTCACCCATGGCTGACTAGTTTCAGGGGTTAACTTCCAAGGTAATATTTGCCTCAAAGTCCCATATGGATGGGACCTTTTATACTAACAAAGTCAACAAACTCTGACGAAGTGCCTAAAAACACATTAGGGTTACTTGTGACAAATTGAATTTCTTGCTTTATGTGTAAAGTGGTCACAAGGTCAATAACCCACTGACCTTGTGACGTGCAGATGTGTGAGTACACAGAATGCAAAACCACAGAATGGAGCCACAGGAAGTAACACTCTTGTGAGTCCATTTAAATTGACCACTGTTGTATGTTTGCAGGTTACATCCAGGCATGCAGGGCGCTGATGATTACAGCCATCTGTCTGGGCTTTTTTGGTTCGATTTCTGCTCTCATTGGAATGAAATGCACCAAAATCGGAGGAAGTGACAGAACCAAAGCCAGGATTGTCTGCATTGCTGGTGTGGAATTCCTACTTAGTGGTAAGTATAGTGGATTTGTCTGCGTCATATCTTGTGTAATCTAACTAAAGTTCTTTTTCTTGTTGTTCTCAGGCATCTGCTCACTCTCAGCATGCTCCCTCTATGCACACCAGATAACAGCGGAGTTTTTCGACCCAACATATGTGGCACAGAAGTAAGAACTGTTTGACTGTGTAACCAGTTTTTTGATGTGAAAAAAATATCCTTAAATACTGGTGTCTGTCTGCAGGTATGAACTGGGAGCTGCGCTCTTTATCGGCTGGGCAGGTTCCATCCTCTGTATCCTCGGAGGCACCATACTCTGCTTCTCCATCGCAGGTTCCTCCAGCGAAAGGTTCGTTTGAGTAACATATACTATGTTTAGACACAGATGCACGTATAAATTCTGTTGAGTCACATAGGTGTTTGATTTATGAAGATGAATCTGTGTCCTGTCTCTTTCCAGCCACAGTCAGGCAAAGTATATCTACAAAGGTGCTGCCTCACATTCCCATATCTCCTCCTTCCCGAGAGGGCAGGCTCAGTCTGTCAACCAGAGGCCGCCTCCAGACTACAGCAACTCCTCCAGGATGCAGCACTTTGATAAGAATGCTTATGTGTGAGGGATGTGAATATAAAACACTTTTAGTCAAAGCCACTGGTGAGTCTTAAAAGCTCTACTAAGTGTTAAAGATACAGCGTACCAGATGAAACGTGGTTGGTTCTGTCTAAAAGCGGCAGAGTTTGCTGTTATTAATATGTGACTCACCGAGAATATTTAAGCCTTTCATCCAGGTGTCCAAATTTGAAGTTGTGTAATGCAGTTTACTCTCTGATAGTGGGGAATTTCTATTTTCTATACAGCAGACAACGTCTGTATTTGGCCGTTGTACATATAACTGTGCATTTAATGATAGGATTAGTATTGTAATTAAACAGCAAAATCATAAACACTTGGTTTCTGGATCCTTATAATCTAATTTTTGCATCATTTTCTATTTTTTTTATGTGGTAGTGTGAAATGTTGTGTAAGACATTTTCTTTGTTGGTTGTATTCTTTAACACAAGTAACCTGAACATGTTGTTAATCTGTAATGACAGTACTTAAAACTGTGTCCAACACAGATGCTCTTGTTTTCCATTGCATAACCATTAACTACTTTGGAATGCTCAAACTTGTATGTAAGGCTCTGTTTTTTAAGAGGAGTGCATGAGTAGAAATAAAACAGATAAAACTGAGTTTCGGCAGTGAGTTTCTTGTTTTGCCAGCAGATGTCATATCTGCATGTCAGTGATTGCAGCAGGTCTGAAGAGGGCAGCAGTTTGCACTTTGTGTCATATCCTGTTAATATGTTTGTGTGACAGACAAATATTCAAACATTTTAAGGTGGTGATAAGTGTCGACTTCTTATTGTAAATACATATTAAATGTATTTTTGCTACACACTCATGAGTGGAAAAAAGGATATAAACCTGAAAAAGTAACTTGAGTCAGATTGCATTAGCTCAAGCAGGTGGCAGACTTCGGAAAGTTTACAGTAAACATCTCACAAAACGTACAGAGCCCCCATCAACATAAGCACACGACACAAACATAATGTCATCCCGACTTGAAACAGGAAACGACTCAGCACCCTGCTCGGGCAGACATTTAGTGAGTTTTGTGCTTCTGGCCACCTGAATGGACGCCATCTGGTTTAATTTAATGATTTTAAAATGAGGAAACGTCTGATCCAAATACTCGGCTTCTTGATTACATCACTGGGATGGCTGTTTGTGCTGTGCACCATGGCCATGGACTATTGGAGGATCACTCAGTTAGGAGGACAAGGAGGCTCCTTTATCATCAAAGTGGCCTGGTACTGGTCCAACCTGTGGAAGGATTGTTTCACTGATTCCACGGCTGTCACCAACTGTAGAGACTTCCCAGTACTCTGGACTGTCACCCGTAAGTGCTTCAGCCATATTGTACGTAGGCCTACCTCAGCAATGATGTTTCTAATACTATCTCTGTCTCTCTAGTCCAGGGGTCGGCAGGCTTTGCTATCAAAAGCTGTTTATGGCCAAAAAAGAACATCTGTCTGGTTGTTATTAGTCTAAATTAATCTATCAGCATTAGTAATAGGTCTAAATAAGCAACCATTGTCGTTTTAACCCAAAGATGGCCACTCTGCAGGGTGCTATTGATGATTATTTGGTACTTTAACTTTGCTGCCTTGGTGGTGAAAGCAAATAAATCTTTCAACACACTATTAAATTCTTTATTAGACTTTTCCTGTTCTTGGTTTTAGAATCCATAGCTAGCCATGCTAGGGAGACTCAATACTAGCCACCACTGCTAAGGTTTGGCAGAATTTAGAGAAAAGATGTTAGGCTGTAATGCTGGCTATATGACGCACATTTTTGTTGACGATATGTTGAAACAGTCTTTTTATTCAGTGTATAAATTACACAGTTTTACAATTGGAGAATGTTAGAATTACTTTAGGTCTAAAATGAGAAGAAAAGAAATGTACATGTAAATGTAAAATGTAAATTTAAAATGTAAAAAAAAGAAGAAGCCACAGGGAGCAAGGTGACCTCTAGTCCTCAGCAGTGGCCGGAGTTTGATTCCGACCTGTGGCCCTTTGCATCCCCATTCACTTTCCCTTTCCTGTCACTCTACAACTCTTCTGTAATAAAAGTAAAAGGCCTAAAAAAGTTGCCTACCCCTGCTCTAGACTTTAACTCTGAAAAAAAAAAAAAAAAGATTTGCAATTATAGGAACATGTTGATCAAAGCAGGGCATAGCACAGTTATGAATAAGTGTTTACAGTGACACTTAGGTTACTATCGGCAGTAATATGTGTTACATAATTTGAATTTTTATTGCTGACCTGTAATAATTGCATTGAATCTGAGTGGTATACTTTTAAATTAAATTTATTAGTTTGCAGATAAATTTAAATTAACTTAAAAGTGAATGTAGTTTTGTGAATTTGACTTTGATTATTCTTAAACTGTATTTGATCCTGACTGAAAATTAAACTCTATACATACTTCCATATTTATAGAGCTAGAACAGTGACAGTAAGCTCTGGCATCACAAATAAAATTTCAAATTTATAAAGGTAACATTGGCACTGAAAAACAAAACACAGGCATTAATTTTATTTTGGTATTTTTTGCTTTCTGATGTGTTTTTCAATGACAATCTTAAGAATTCTTTTTCTTCATGTCACTCTTTCTTTCTGTCTTTTTGTTTTTTGTTTTTACCATGACAGTTTTTTTTTTTAAATTACAAACAATGGAGGGGAGGAGTTTGAAGAAAGGGGGAGGGGCAAAGGCAGAAAAAAAACAACCTACAACTCCTGACAGTAAAAACATTACTAAAAATAAAAGGAAAAAAATATATACGATTGTCATTGAAAAACAAATCAGAATGCAAGACATAGTATATTTTAAATGCCAATATTTTATTTTTCAATGGATTTTTTTCGGTGCCAGTGTTTCCTTTTGCTATGAAAAAGTTGATTTTAGATGCCAAAACTTTCTGTAACTTTTACAGCTCCATAGAGCTTCTGTAAAATTTCTGAATCATAAATGCTCATAACATACATAACAAAATGTTTGTTAAATCTTTGTTATAATTTTGTCAGGTGACAGGTGTTTGTCAAGGTGGACTATGGCATTAGATTGTAAGATACAACTCACCATCTACAGTATAGCTTTAGATGTCCTTCAGAGAGATTTGATTTTAATCTCCTCACTTACTTTCTGTACTGAGAGAACCTGAACGTTTTCTGTTGAATACATTCTCATTGTGTTTCTTGCCTGAACTCTTTCTTTGTGTTGCTCACAGCTTTCATTCAGGGAGTACGAGGCCTGCTGATGTGCGGGTTAACTCTTGGATTCTTCGCCGTGGTGCTGTGCTTTGTTGGGATGGAGTGCACTTTCATCGGTGGAGGTGATAAAACCAAGGACAAACTGCTTCTCTCTGGGGCAGTGTTTCATATCGCTGGCAGTGAGTATAAAACCCAAGCATTTGTGTTTGTGCAGTAAATGACAGAAATGTTTTGCCCTTATTTTTTTAATATCAACAACACCTCTACATACAGGTGTGTCGGATGTGTCTGCCTACTGCTTATACATCAACAGGATTGCCAGAACAACGTTTGCGCCCAGCGTTGGACTGGGAGTCTTACGGTACCTTTCGTCACACTGACCCACATCACCATAGTTTAAATTGTAGACATTCCCAGCTTTAATTCCACAGTAAAATATCACACAAAATCTGATGTATACAATGTATCCTGACTTGTTTTTCCTACATTTCAATAATTCCAGGTATGACCTAGGACCTCCCATATTTCTAGGACTGGTGGGATGTTTTTTAATCGTTCTGGGAGCTATGTTTTATGCTGTGACAGTCTGCACAGTCATTTGCCCTGAAAGGTACTCACATTCATCCACCTTCACCCTTTTTCCTATAACTGCTGAGTCCACACCGCGTTACTAACTTTGGTGATGTTTTGGTTTTACAGGCAAGTGGTATACGCCTATGGAGGAGGCACATACATGGTCCCTCGCACCAGAGGAAGAACCCTGTACAGCGGATACTACCGGCCTGGGCAGTATGGATCTTATATGGGCTCAGGACCATCCTACAGCTCCAAGATCTCAAAACTCTCGCAGACAACACCAACGAAATTCTCAGACAGAGATGCATTTGTGTAGCAGCTCAGAGCCCCTTTTTTCATGCATAGATCCAACAATCAGCTTATCGCTTACTGTACATCAGAAGACATAAACCCTCTCTTGCACCAGTTCTCATATTTTATTGATGTTGTCTTTTTCTTGGTCTCGTCATGTTTTACTGCTAAAATACACTGTCTTGTGTTTACTCATCATTTGTTGTGATTCAACCAAAGCACATATTACAATTGAGAATGTCTGTAAATTAATATATAATAAAAAGAACTTCATATAATGAGAATGATGTCACTCCGGTTGTTGTCTTTATTGAAGATGGGGTGAATTCAGAAATGGGTTTTACAGACACTTAAGCTGCACTAATAAGACAAAAAGAAAATGCATATTTTTCAAAGCACCAATAAGGGGTGAACTACACCTGTTTACAGTTTATACCAAGGCATCCATCCTTTCAGCCCACTCACTCTTTTTGACTCGCTGCACCAATCACAAGTCTCCACATCTGACTTGACCTGAAGTGGACTTCTGTCATTTCTTCATTTTTCGGGACTCTGTTTCTCTTTGGGGCGGCACAGTGGTGTCACCTCACAGCAAGAGGGATCCTGGTTCAATCCAAGGTGGGGGAGCCCTTCTGTGCTGAGTTTGCATGTTTTCCCCGTGTCAGTGTGGGTTTTCTCTGGGTGCTCCAGCTTCCTCCCACAGTCCAAAGACATGCAGGTTAATTGGTGACTCTAACTGGCCGTAGGTGTGAATGTGAGTGTGAATGATTGCCTGTCTCTATGTGTCAGTCCTGTGATAGTCTGGCGACCTGTCCAGAGTATACCCCGCCTCTCACCCATTGTCAGCTGGGATAGGCTAATCTGTGTATACAATACACATACAGCCTAATCTGTGCATTTTGAGCCTAGTCCGGCCCACCAGGTATTGATGGAAAGACAATGAAGCCTGTGAATGAAAACAAACTTTCTTGTGACAGTGCTTGTACACTGTCTTGTTGGTGTATATGTACTTGTCTAATAAATTTAAACCTACACCATCCTCCCAGTCCCATTATTCTATACAGTACTTACTTAGAGGAACCCAAAAGGCTGCTTGGTCTAGTGAACCTCCTGAACAATGAACGTATGATGGGATCCTGAAAATTGGACAGTGAGGAACAGAGGTGAGACATGATCATTGATGAATATTAAAATGAATAAATGACAGATTTAGTAATATTTTCATAGACTATGTACTCACCACATCAATAAACAGCACAGCAACACATAATACTTCCTCAAACATGGCAACCTTTAAAAAGTGAAGGGATATTTTAAATTGAATGGAAACATGCCCACAATAAAAACAAAATACAGGCAATTATTGTCCACAAGAGTTTGCTGTTACATGTCAGTAAAAAAACAATAAGATAAAAACACAACTTATCTAGAATAAAGAGGATATTTATGTATAAAAGACAAATACATTTAAGTAGTTACTTTTAACTCCAAGCCACTTTTATGTTAATGAGCAGCATCACATCTCCTGGCAAATCCTAATTTGATTCA